CAACCTCCAACTCCTGGGCTCAAGCAAGTCTCCCGCCTCAGCCTCCCAAGTAGCTCGGACCACAGGCACCCGCCACAATGCCTGGCTATTTTTTTGGTTGCAGCCCTCATTGTTGTTTGGTGGGCCCGGGCTGGATTTGAACCCACCACCTTAGGTGTGTATATGGCTGGCACTTTAGCCACTTGAGCCACAGGCGCCAAGCCGGTCAAGTCTTTTTGATGAATGCCAGAACGAGAGAATGGCAGCCTACTTGTCTCCTGGGGGGATCTGCAGGCCAGGCCTTGAGGTAGCAATCACAACCATGACTCCCAGCCTGGCTAGCACTCCCACATTCCTGGTGCACAGCATGAACCCTGCTCAGTATGTGTTCCTCAGCCTTCACACTGAATTGTAATCTTAATGGTAGCTTCCTAATGTTACTTCACTTCTTTGTATCTGTGTAAAATTCTTATTGAATGTTTGAAACTATATAAGATAATCAGTAAAGTCAGGCCTGGTAGCTGACCTGAGTGAGTCTCGACCTCCCTTCAAATCAATCATCTCGTCTGCAGTTCCTTTTCCCTGCGTCTCCAATCAGAGGCTCCGAGAACACTTTCAATAACAACAAAAAATAGCTTGACTGAGGACAGTGCCTGTGGCTCAAAGGAGTAGGGTACTGGCCCCATATACTGGAGGCGGCGGGTTCAAACCCAGCCCCGGCCAAAAACTGCAAAAAAAAAAACAACAACAACAACAACTGGGTGTTGTGGTGGGTGCCTATAGTCCCAATTACTTGGGAGGGTGAGGCAAGAGAATTGCTTAAACCCAAGAGTTGCTGTGATGCTACGGCACTTTACTGAGGGTGACACAGTGAGACTCAGTCTCAAAAAAAAAAAAAAAGCCTCCTCACTTTCTAGAAAAAGAAAGTCCAGGTGAACGTTGGTGCATGTTTTCATGGCTTGCATTTAGCCATCTAGGCCCCTAGCTTCAAGATCTAGTGTGAGTGCCTAAAAAAATGCTGGGCTCAATGGCTCACACCTGTAATCCTAGCACTCTGGGAGGCTAAGGCAGGTGGATTGCTTGAGCTCTGGAGTTAAGACTAGCTGGAGCAAGAGTGAGATCCTATCTCTACTAAAACTAGAAAAATTGGCTCAGCACCTGTAGCTCAGAAGCTTGGGTGCCAGCCACATACACCAGAGCCGGTGGGTTCAAATCCAGCCTGGGCCTGCCAAACAACAAGGACAATTACAACCATAAAATAAAAATAGCTGGGTGTTGTGGTGGGTGCCTGTAGTCCCAGCTACTGGAGAGCCTGAGGCAAGAGAAATGCTTAAGCCCAAGAATTGGAAGTTGCTGTGAGCTATGACACCATAGCACTTTACTGAGGGTGACAAAATGAGACTCTGTCTCAAAATAAATAAAAATAAATAAATTAGCCAAGCATGGTGGTGGGTATCTGAAGTCCCAGCTACTCAGGAGGCTGAGGCAGGAGGATAGCTTGAGCTCAGGAGTTTGAGGTTGCTGTGAGCTATGATGCCAGGGGACTCTAGCCTGGGCAACAAAGTGAGACTCTATCTAAAAAAAATCTAGTGTTAGAACCAAGAACCAGTTTTATTTCTGATAACTGCCTATGTTGCAGGGGGGCTGGTGTGCTCTTCCCAGGGTCTAAATTCTCCAACACAGCCACTGTCCCTGCAGAGGTCTCAACAACACTGTGCAGCGGAGAAAACATGGCAGCAAGACCTCAGTCCAGCTGCACCAGCAACCTTTCAGCAACAGTGAAGATCTGGATGTGGGCGATGAGTGTTCTGGGGCATGACTTCAACTACCCTTGGCTAGAAGTGGGTATAGTGGAAGAGAAAAGCACCCCCCAACTCAGGGAGTGGCCTGGCACTGTCAACCTTGGTGTGGTAGGAGGTGGCCTCGGCGTAGACTGTGAACAGTTTCACAGCATGATAACACTAGGTGAGGCCACTCCATCACCATACTGGGTCAAGACAGAAGAAGGTCAGTCCATAGTCATGTCTGAACTCAGACAGTGTCTGAACCACAAAAACAACCAAATAACCCCTAACCTGGCTAATATGAGCAGCTGTTGCTTCTTTACCAACTGGAGCTTCAGCTTGGCTTCCTTCCTCCCACCTTCTGGGTAAAATTTATTAAAATGCCCAATCCTAGAATTACCCTCCATCTTCCTGACAGTATCCAATCCAGAACAAAGCTCAGCTTCCTTGAATGCTCCCCCAAATCACCTGACATGAGTCCAAATGCTGTTAAGTCCTTTTAACACCCTCACTGGAGATGCCCCTCAGTTCCTCATTGTGTTGTAAGACCTAAAGCTCCAAGAGCTGTCTTGACATCTTTGATCCTCACAGGGGGCCAAAGCCCTAAGCCTCAGTCCCCTGCCCTCAACAGATGCCCCCCACCCAGTGGGACAGGCTCCCACCCAGAAAGTTCTCCTACCAGCCAGGTTGGCTGTGCCCCACCTGGTCCTCAACCTAACCTGTTTCCATTCCCTGCCAGCCCTCAGGAATATTCAAACCTATCACATCCTCCTGTGGGAACCAGGAACCATCATCTTTCCACAAGCCCTGCTGGTTCACTCTGCTCTGAGTGCACCCCCATGTGGCTCTGCACACCAGACTTTGATGTATGTGGCTAATAATTGCCCTTGATCTCAGCTGTCCAGTGTTGGTTGTTTGGTCATCTCATATAAGGGCAGGGATCCCTCCTTTACCAGTGGAATTAATGGGAGGCAATCGGAATGCTTGTGATGTGGTGTGTTCTCTCCCTCGCTGCAATGAGTCAATATATCTAAATCTGTTCAACTGCAAGTGAGTGCCTGGTGGTCTTGGCTGAAGGAGACTGACCCTGCAAAACTTAGGAAAAGCCTTTCTATGGTGGGAGCTTTTTGGATTTTGGAATTGCAGACAAGGGACTGTGGAGCTACATTATCATGAAACCATAGCAAGAGGTCTCCAGGGAGGCAAGAGAAATAAGGGAGTATTGCAGCTAGTTTAGTGTAGTAACAAGGCTGGGTAGGTAAGCAGGGGCCAGATCAAGGGGCTGACTCAGGCCTTACAAAAATTATGAGTGAAGGAAACAGAAGAGAAGCTGGATAAATTCCCACCCTATGGGTGCATTACATAGGTATATTGTACACTCCTGGGTGAAAGGTACACAACTACAACCCAGATGTAACCTTACAAAAACAAACTATGTAATCTAATCATATGTATCCCCATGAAATTTTCAAAACCAAACTACAAAAAATGATGAATTTTAAGCAATTCCTGGCTAATTTTTCTATTTTTAGTAGAGATAGGATCTCGCTCTTGCTCCAACTGGTCTTGAACTCCTGAGCTCAAGGAGTCATTTGTAGCCAGACTGGATAAGGGCATATAATTGCTTTTTATCATTCTGGCAGGATGCCCAGCATCTGTGCAGCCCCAGGCCTGGTTCTCCAGCCCTTCTCCATATTGACTCCGGGCTACCTAACATCCTACAATGGACTTCTCTGCAGCATTGGCCCTTGTTGCTCATGCCTACTGACTTGATCTGGTATAGTGGAGGACATACTCTCACTCCACCTGAGCCACAGGGTGCCAAAAAGGAAGTGGACACGCCAAACAGGGTCTGCTCCAAGTCTCCACGCCCTCTAGGGGCACCTGCAGGTGCTTTCCTGACATTGTGGGGCAGCCTATGAGGATTAATTCACATTCACCCAGGGCAAAAGGCTTTCCATTCATTATTCCACATTGAATCCTTACAAGCCTATGAGGCAGGTGCTGTCATTGTCTTCATTTTACAGACAAGTCAAGCCAGACTCAGAGAGGATAAGTCACT